AATTATTGAGTTATAATAATTTGACTAGAAATTGGATTGATGATTTAATTATTGATTGTTTGTTGATTATTTACGGTTTTGTACATGATGAAAATCCATTTTACCTCTATATGATAATTTGACGCTGTTCCAATGTAAATATATAATTTAGCAGCAAGTTGACATTTCCTCGACTGTAGACACTGCTCATCATGATTTGCTAATCATTAATACTGATGATTGTTTAAGTGAATTTTCAATATGCAAGGGAAATTGGTCATTTCTGTTCAGACCTTTTTTTATGATCTCTTAATACTCTATATGTAGACGTAAAAATGTGGGAATTTTACATTTGATATTTGTCGTAATATTCAAGTATTTTATTCATAGTCACCATATTGATGTATGATAAGAAACGTGGTTGGTTGTATTAAAATGTTTCCACTAAAAAAATTTTATATCTTAAAAAAATAACAGGAAATAAAAAATGATATTCAATATTTGAATGTTTTTTTTTTCTTATTGATTACATGAAACAATAAAATCAAACAATATTAGATCTTGATAGAAGTAGTGTTTAAACTTTTATTTCTTTTTATACAATATCTCTTCATAATCATAAATAGAACTTGAGAAAAAATAAAAATAATAATGGTTTGATTGGAAGTTACTTTACAATTTATAAATCTAGTAGAAATGAAGTAGAGTAGAGAAAGAATAGACTTTTTATTGGAAATATTTTTCAAGTAATCATGAACTTTCTAAGATCTGAGCAGATTAAAGGAATTAATCAAATTTATTTGAACTTATCAGATTTGATGTAATCTTAAAAATAGCTTGATTAAGTTGAATCTAATCAGATAAGACGAAATTTAAGAAACAGATGAAGATGTTTAGATTCCATTAAATCTGAGTAGGGTCAATTGTGTGTATCACTCTAATCTCGTTTCATTTTATAAAAATTATTCAGACTTAATTGAATACAATCAATAATGAGTTTGTATAGAAAACAATAATTAGGAATATTGAGATCCAGGGGGTTTTCAAGTACATGAAATCAAACTTCAGTATTAGAACTTAATCAGATCCAATCAAGATCATGAATCTTAATGCACATTATCGAGTTGCATATGCTAATAATTTTCAGTAATTAGTAAGTAAAAGTCAATCGATAAATCAATACAGGTTTTAAAGTAGATAGATGGAGATGTTTTTGAGATAAAACTTTTGGTAAAATATTCATCAATGTGTGTAGGTATGTTGATGCATTGGTACATGTGTATATTTACTAAAAAAGAAGATCAACATCCTAGTGACCACAATTACATGTATAGAAACTTTACAACTGTAAGTCTACTTACGACCATCACTTTTATTTTCACTATAAGCGTATTATGGATACAACTTTCAGATATTTGCTTTTTTTAGGGGTTATATATATTTTAATGTGTCCATATGCATAAGTTGTGATATACATATGTCTATGCACACACTATTTATGTCTGGCTGTATTTATTCGTGTCTATTTGTTTGTTTGTAAGCATGCATACATACGTACCAATCTATGTATTTACGTCCGTTTGTCGGTATAAAAGTGAACAAATTTTTTACCGCCAATATCGAGCATGGTTTGGTCGATCTTGTTTGCTCACCTGTTTTTATTCTCTCTATAATGATTACTCGAAACTGATCGAGTTTTAAGTAAAATTTATTAAACCCTTTTTAAGCTGTTCGAAAACAGAAACGAAAGCTTGAGAAGTGGAATGATATGCATCTTGGCTGCTTTATCTTGCCTTGTTTTCGAATGCTAATAACACTTTTTCCAGTTTCATGGTCAGAAAAAAATTAAGTTATCTAAAAAAAAAGTAAGATTTTTATTTTATTTCCTGAACTTACTGTTCTTTTTCGTCGCAGTGATTTCTTTCCATTCAAAAAATGCAATTAAATCTACAAAATCAGGTTATCATGTAGAGCTTTGAAATAAAATCCACATTTACACTTTGGTTGATGGGTTTTTCTGAATTATCTGAGCAAAAAATGATAAAGCGAAAGCTTGGGTAGAATCAGGCATCTCTGGTTAGAGAAAAATTGGCTGATTATACTCAGACTTCGACGTTTTTATCTTCCGGAATTAAGTTACTTTAGAAATGTATTCTTGAGAACTGATTATATTTTTTTGTGCCAAGGAAATTTTTTTAGACGTTCAAGAGACTATAGCTAATCAACTCTGAAGTGTCCAGATAAGAGCTTTTTATTGCAATAAGTGTAAGTAGTGAATAAAATATAAAAGGGTAGTTGTTTTCTTTTTTTATGAAATATTTATTTATCACTAAATATGCAAAGTATATATTATGTACATATACATTAGGCCATACACATAAATAGATAATATTTCATATTTATAGTGAACGCCTAGACGTTGTCTAGAGATGAGCACAAACAATTTTGCTCTTGGAAACACGCAATAATTATTCTACGAGCTTTCTCCTGTCATCTTGTCTAGACAATAAGCCATCCTTATATATATCATTTTTTTTTCGGGGCGCATAAATGCATTTATGTACAAGCGGGATTAAAAGTACAATTATTAATATCAAGTATGTATAGCTTTGTACGATTAACAATATTCCGCCGAAAGCGAAATTTCACCATCAAATGCTTCAACAAAACAGCGCGAGGACGTGAATGCATTAAATATATCCTGAAATATTCCACTTGGATGCAATTATGATATAAATAATGAATTATTTTTCAGACGTATTGTTTCAACGCCAATTTTACATTTATGGGTGTATCTATATTTTCATTTTTATCTTTTTTTTTGTCTTTAATTGATGTATATACATAGAACTTTTATTGAAATATTCTATCGGTTTTAGCGTGTGATATGATGCTGATAAGATAAGTCTAGTGAAAACGTAATTTTTTTGTTACTGCGTCAAAATTTTTACGATATTTAATTCTCTTTATTGACGTCACTCGCTGAGTGGTTTCATCTTTTATTGAGGATTTCTCCTTGTGCCATTTTTTAATCTGCCAATCTGCATACTTTACCGAGGCATTTATGTTTTATTTTATCTCAAATCTCAACTTATCTACCACAGTGATTTTTTTCTTGTTAGTTGCGAATTTTATCTTGGTAGATGTTCTTCCCTCATGACTTTAGCATAAATTTAAGCTCCTTATATATCATATGATATGATGACACAGATCGTCAGCGTCAAATATATCCATTCTTTTTCTTGTCAGAATCATTTTACACTACTTTATTTTCTATTGTTTGATTCTGCCAATACTTTTTCAGACAAAAATAACTCTTTATACATTTTATTATAAGATTTAACATTTTTTTTCTTCAACAATTTTTATAATTCCACCTATAAATAATGCCAAAATTTATTTACATTCTTTCGACTTATTTCAATTGAACATCTACCGAAGATCACAAAGCAGAGTATAGTGGAGTTCAAAAATTATGGATTACAAGAAAATGGTGATTTTCATGTACCTTTCAGAAGATTATTTACCTAAAAAGATACAAAGGTTTGCATGTTTTTTAAAAATGATCAAAATGATTTAATTCTTCATAATTTATGTAATTTTTAAAGTAAGTCGTTTACCTTTGTCTTTCTCTATTAAAGTATGTGAGACTTGTCAATTAATGAAGTTATCGTCCAGTCATGGTTGAGGACAAAACCATTACTGAATGATAACTTCATGCCAGTCTCAATGATGAACCTGTTACATGTTTCTGCTAGGGTTTTTTAGTTTATTTTAGAGGGTTTATCTTGTACCAGAGAACTATCTCACCCTGGTCTCTTCTAATTTTTACTTGAAAAATGAAAGGATAAAAAAAGGAATGTCACAAAAATAATAATATAATAAAGGATGCAGATATTTCGGAGTGTCTTTAGTAGAAAGTAAACCTGGCCCGATGTTAAGTTAAAAATCATTCAAGTAATAAATTTTCAAGTAATAAAGGCTCTAATTATCTAACAAAAATTCCTATCCAGGGAACTAATGTTACTTTCTGGTGGTGTTATTATTTTAACCCTGATAGAAGTTTGCGTGGTAACGCGCCAAGCTAGTTTTCATAGCTTTTATCTTGGCGCTAGCCACGAGATTGCTTGGTTACGCTTATTTTCACCAATAATGAGATTTTTTTAATAAAAGGTTTTCTTTAACTTTGCAGAAATTATAGAACTTATTGTATAAAATTGTTATACATACATTTTTTTTAATTTCATTCAAAAGATAAAGGGATAAGAAAGACCAAAATAGACTTCAAACAAATATTTCGATAATTCGATAAAAATATTTCTTTTATATAAAAAAATCTAAATAATAAACCATTAAAAATAGGTTTTATCTATTGAATGATTGATATTGTAATGAGATTAGGAAAAAATCAATAGAATATTGTTGTCAATAATTTCGAATGTCTTTTAACAATTGTATATTATTTATAACAATTGCAATTTCTAATAGGCAATAAAAAAAGAATTCTACCTATGAAAAAATAAATTTTGTTAATGGATCAGAAAATATTAACAATAGCAGACTAATGAATTCTTTTTTAATAACAAACTCAATTTTTTTATCAATAATACACAATCAAAAAACTACATTTATGGTTATTTCCTATCATATCTTTTTTTCAAATTCATCTAATCCTTAAAAAAGAGATAAAAGGGATTTTAATTATTTAAAATGAATAGCAATTGCAATTGCAAGCAATATGCAATTATGAAAGAGTATGTATTGATCATTTAATTAGTAGAATCTTTAATTACTCAAACATCCAAAAATTTTTATCTGATGGCAATTGCTAGCTCAAGCTTGTTCAATTCTGCAATACTTGACTGATAAAACTATAAAAAACCTACCTAGTTGCGTCACTGAGAAAAATTTTTTTACATTTTACTGAGCAGCCTAGTAAATTTTACTGGGACACTTAGTAAAATGTAAAAAAAAAATTCTCAGAGTAGTTTATACTAGATATATTTCTACCTGGGGGAAGATATAATTTTTTCGAAAGCTTTTATAATTTCAACAATTTCTGGTTGGAATAGTTAGAATACACATAAATAATACGTATTATCATTATTAGCTCTATTTTTTATTAAGTGTAACATTCTTTATTTTACCTCCAGCCCCCTACCATTTGTTTATGAGCCAGGAAACATCTTTGGGATGATAATCTCCACTGTAGAAAATGTTGATTTAGATTTTAATTATCAATTTTTACTATTTGTTTATTGTGTATAAATTCTGAAAAAAACACACAAAATCATTCCCAATGGATTTTGACCGAACAAATGTTTCTACTCTCTCAAATTAAATCAGTAAAAACCACTGTGATCACCCCTGATTCAAATCACTAACTATTTACTGATTGTCAGCACCAGTTCAATCGTTCATTCACAGTTGTTTCTACTGATTCAGTTTAAAAGAATAAAATTTTGAAAAATATTTTTTAGAAAATTTATGTACACAACTAACATTAATTTCTACCTCTCAATTTAGTTTCATTATTGACTTTACAAAGTATTGATCTCTTTTGTAAAATTATCACATAGTAAAATGTGTAAATGAAAAAAAAGAGAAGCATGGGAAAGCCCAAACAGTAGAGCATCTGACATGTAACTGAGGGATACAAATTTTATTTGTGATCTTATCAGCAGTCGTTTTTTAAACAGAAAAAATAATAATTTTGGTAAAATAACCAAAGAAATTCGAAGGTAATTACATTTTTTGTTATTAAAGTCTTGTATTGTTGAAAATAATAAGAACAAAATTGGACAATTACTTGTAGTTGGTATCCTGGTTCATTAAAATACGATTATGGAGCAGAAATAAAAGTAATAATGATGAAAAATTTCCATTTTCTTGAAAAGATCCTCCAATGTTGAACTCCACTGTATCTCCTATCTTTGTAAATATTCATTAAGCTGTTGAAATAATAGTAGTATTGTGCTCATAACAATTTATTACTCGATTTACGTCTCGAGTGTAATAAAACCGGACGTGTGTGTGTAAATATATATGTATCGTTAAAAGAACAACGTGAAAGATATATAAGTGGAAACTTAGAGGAAAATCGCTGATCTTTAATAACTCAAACGCATCATACATTCTCATCTGTACAATAACGATTATAATTAATTTCTTAATGACTCCCTCAGTAATTTTTCACAATTTTTCATTATTGGAACATGATTGTCTTTGGTCACGAAACATTCTCCCATATATATGTCGTAATCACTCCTTCAATTTTTTACACATGCTTTCTCTATCTTCACAGCCTTCGTTGTCTTTGTTAAGGCTCCTGGAACACAGAATGGAACCCTTTGTTTTATTCATCAGGATTCAATTCATCACAAGTGTTTGATGTAGTATCATCATTGCTATCAGGAGTGGAAGACAGGGTCCGATGAAACTTGTACGTCCTTGAACTGCAATGAAATTAAATTTTATTCAGTCATTTATTTTTCACAAGTTATGGATAGAACAAAACATATTAGAGAAAAGTAGTTTTTTTTCAATGAGTTATAAATATTTAACAAGTACAGATTAATAAAGACTGTGCTGTCACTAATGAGAAACAGTCGTAAAGAGAACTGATATCGATGTCAAAAATTATACCACCATGCATTGATGAAGAGAGTGAATGACGAGCTACAATGTATGCGTGATTATGTAAAAATCGATTATTAATAAGAAGTGGTAAGTTTTGACGTTTGTTTATTGATTAAGAAAACTATGAGAACGGTTTTGATGTAATGAGTTTGTTTTAGACTTGTTTTAAAGATTGATTTAGTCTTCAGTACTTTATAATATTTTTTGAAGCTTCAAGTTAATAATTATGACTTTTTTTATTATGGGAATAAAGTTTTTGTTCTATATCACACATTTTGTATAGGACAAAGAAATAAAAACAGCGATGGTTTGACTTTTTTTTAGAATGAACTCCCAATAAATCCTTTTGATTCCTGGGATATGTAAATGTACGACACTACTGCCGTATGATAGCACATATTTTAAATTACAAGTGATCATATATGAATGCATTAATATTTTCTGTACTAAAAATCTGACAGTTACGGAAGTTCATATCATTTTTATCATATTCATCATTGATTTTTTTCCTACATCATAGTTTATTTTTTTATATTTATACATTATAATTCTAGACACAAATGGTCCTTATTTATAAATTTATAATGATGAATTCAGAAAAGAAAAAAAAGCAAATTGTCACTATTTTGACACTGTAACTCTAAAGTTGTAATAAAATATTTAAGCTAAAGTTCGTTAATGTTCGAAAATGTAACTTATTAAATCGACTATGTCTCATTATTATAATAAAATACTTTTTAATGTTTAAATAATAGATACCAGTTGAAACCTATTTGAATAATTCATTTTAATTTCTCTTTTCGAGGAAAATTCACACAAACCACATAGAACTTTGATGTTACACTTTCTTTTTTTCTCTCTATTTTTCTTACAAGCACACGTTCTCTTACAATAACATTCGATAATTACTTTCTATATTATTCATAGTCTTTTTAACAAAAAAAAAAACAATGACAAACATGTTTGAATAAAAGTGCGAATATTCAAAGTCAAACAATTATTTAACTGAAATAAAACGTCTGTGTTTTTTATGTCATCAAAGCTTTATATTATTGTTATTTATCAATGATATCTCGCTTTATATATGATGAAAAAAAATTTTTCTACTGTTATTATTCATCTATTTTTTTCCATTTGATAATAGGATTATAACAATTCAATAGCATTGTTTCGTAATATTTAAAAATACTTTATTATAAGAAACTTTTAACGAATATTATTCGATGAGCTTTTATCTATTGTTCACATTTTTAATCCACTATTTAATAATAATCTGATGAATACCATTGAGTAATATATTATTGGATAAAATTGATCCAATATAATCTTTATTTTTATAAACATTAACTAACAAGTAAGATAGAAGCAACTTGATTTTTTTTAATAATAAATTGCTCATTGAACCGAATTGAACAGTGAATTATTTATTCTTTTGAAAATTTTCAAAATTCTATTTTATAACTCATAATTATATTTATTACAATTATTTTTTAAATGTGTTATTTGCAATAAAAAGATAGTGAAACTTTTATATAAATTAGAATTTGATTGATTAATTTTGTTAAGTCTTAGAAGGAATCTCTCTACTCTCTAAGTAAGTTTCTGAGACTATTTATAGCTAATATCAATAATGAGATCCAACAAGTCTCAACACTTCCATGAATGTTTCATCTATATAATTTCTAAGATGAATATTAAAATGGTATATTTAATTTGATTGACATTCATTCGAATCATATCTACTAAATTTATCAAATGCAATAGTTATTATTTATTAACTATTGAGTGTAATACAGACTATTTTCAATTAGACATCATTCTATTCATTTTAGAAGTAGAAATATTTCTGTTCAACAGTGGATTTTGGGTTGTTGTATTAATTATTTTACTAAGGCACCTTTTAAGTCTCAAGTTTACTTATAAGAACTCAAAATTTACTATCGAATAGAAGAAATATTTTTACATTCAAATTTTGAGACGTGGGCTTGTCACTTTTTGCTCTTAAATTTAGTGAAAAAATTCTCTCTGTGTATAATTTAAAAGAAATAAGTTTTATAAAACAATTTGTTGCCAATTTAATAATTAAGGATGACCAACTATCAAAGGCTATTTGCAAGTACATATCACTCTAGTAGATTTTACACTTCAGATATGAATAAACGTTATTTAATCTAAATTATGGTAATAATCTAAAGTGCGTGACGACTTTCTACTCCCATGTGGTAGCACAAAAATACTATTAACAAAAAAAATCGTGACTTAGCGCTCCCTGTATGAACGTGATGTTAAGCATCCTTTGTTTCCATCGCAATTGGCCGTTTTAACTAGATATAACCCCTGTCAATCATGAGTGGGATCTTGAACGGCGTAGAAACGATTATTTAACAATTTGATCGAAACCAGCACGATTGTTGGCTTTAGAGGAAAATAAATATAAAAAGAAGAAAAAGGACATAATGGAAAATGCGAAAGATGTAACTAGCGTATATATTTTTGTCTATAGATGTCTTCAAGAGATATATACATGTGGAGAAATATATATATATATATATATGGAATGATTCGTCTAACGAGAAAATCGAAGATGGTTAAGAGCAATTTCTTTGAGTCGCTCCACAGCTTTTCCGGTTTCTTTATTTTTCTTGTTCGTTTTTCTTTTTTTCCCCTGTGACCACCTGAATCCGTCTCCGATTTGCCGCGAGCTTTCCACACCATCGTCATTCGCACGTACTTGCCTTTCACTACTATTTCTTATCGTAATGTTTTTTGCTTTGTATTTTCTTTCTTATTTCCTGTTTTTTTTCTCACGTTGTTATTTTATTTCTATGATATTTAATGAAAACTGTGATCAAAAATCTTGCATTAAGGATTCAATCTAAGAAAATCCAAATTATATATCAACTACATCATATATTTATTAATCGATTAATTTTTAAACAACACTGAGTCGATTGGTAATTTTGTGTGCAATTAATTTTCATTGGAGAAATGTATGTCGAATTTCTAATGTAAGGAATGATAGATTATTCTACTATGTAACTCGATGGTTTTACATTATTATTGATCTAAATGTGAATTTTGAACTTTCAGTTAATTTAAAACTTGAGCGAAAAAGTTAATAAATATTCGTAGTAGGAACTGTGGATTAATAAATTAAAAGACATACTTTGTCTTGGGGTATTTTCATACGCGGTTAATCCGTTACAAGGCAGCTTGTCGTGACACATTTTCATTAAAGGGTATTTTGTCTGGGTTATTTGAACTCTGGATATTTTAATGTATGCCAGAATTTTCAAGATGTCTGATATTGTGATGATTAAATGAACAAGGTGACTGCAAAATGAATATTGGGAATTTTATAAAAGGTTAATTGAAAATATAAATAAATCTTTTTAGCAAATTATTTTTAATAAATTTATCCTGTTAATGTAAAACAAAAAATTCTTTTTCAAAGTGGATAATTACTGTATAATTTTCTTTTATATCTATATTTGACCTCGATACCCTAGAATCCATTTAAACACATACTTATATATGAGTATTATCTCTATGTGGGAAGCGAGACAAATGTATTTTTGATCCAACATTGAGTTAATATAATGAACTGTCATCCATTGATGAATTAGAATTGAGTCAGTTTTGTTTCCTACTAATATTTTTCTGATTGAATTAGTGAATATTCACTAACACTTACTACTAAATTGACTAAATAATTTTATGCTTAAATAAAAGTTAATATTTACTGAATTAATTGAAAAGAACAACGGACAGAATGATTGATACATATATACATATCAAGATGAAACTGATAAATTGTACATATACAGTGTATATGCTGTAAGGGAACAAGACTGACCTTCTGAATTCTTATACAAGGTTTGGCCATCATTCAACTAGTGAATAACCCTTAAAATCAGTTTTAATATTTAGCCCAGACTCAAACATGGAATATAAACACTTAGGATATATAGAACATTGTGGAGAACCTACTTTTTAATAGGAAAACATGAATAGCCATCACTAGCTCCACACTATCAGATCAAGTCTATCATGTTTCAATGTTGGATCAGAACTTGTTAACCGTGCTTTTAGGCTAGAAATATAGAATAGTGATTTTTTTTTCGTATCCATGAGTTACCATCAAACAGAATCTGCTAATATCCTTGTGTTATTTTTCACTATCTAATCTATCTCATTTTAAATCGTTTTAATTGATCGTAAAAATAGTTCAATAATTTCATTCAACTCCATCTAAATGTGTTGCTCAGCAATATGCTAGTCATGCTGTCTGTTAGAGTTGATGTAACGTTCATATCATCTAGATATTTGCATAAAATTACACCACACGTAAGTCTGATGTAGACACATAGTTAGAATCAATGAATTTTTCACCAAAACGAAAATGCAACTCTTTGTTGAATTACTTCCTCTGAAAAAGCTCAACTGTTATCAGAGAAAACAAAAGATTATATTAGATTTACTGTATTATACTTTCCACTATTTTCTGATGTTTATTAAAACTTGGATAATAAGTTACATAGATTTGCTTGTGGGGATAAATAAGTGTTATACCAATACTCCCGTTACTAATCCTCATAACGAAATAGCGAGTTATAGACGTCGAGTAAATTGAATTTACCATCGACGATTGGTGGTTGGAACTAAATTTGACCTGCACTCTCAGTTAGTTCGATAATTAGAGAATCGAAGCGAATAATGAAAAACATCAATATCCAATAAATTTACATCGTTATCAACTTCTTGCCATTTGATTGTTGCTGATTGAAGTAAATATTCGTAAATTGATTACTGACACATAGGTACATATATCAAATGACTTACCTAAAATATTGGTTTCTCTTAAGTCCTCAAAACGTTCAGTAGCTCGTTCACTCGTTCTAACTATTGATACACATCTTTAAAAATTAACAAAAATTTTATTTTAGAACGATTAAGATAAAGTGTAAAGAGAATTTAGAAACTTGTTATTAACCTCACGTTAATCCTTCCAACAGTTAAATGATGTGGACCCACTTCAAGTCGCAAACTTGATACAGTTGATAAGAGATCACGATGGCGGATGATCATTTCAGAGTCTGCTTTCACCTGTAAGAATATTTTTGTTGTAATTAGAAGCTTTTCTCAAAAACTTTGCCCATCATTTACAGCTTTACTTTTATTTTTTTTTGTGAGTAATTATGATCAAAGCATTGCAATTGTATAGAACAAAATTGAAATAACTGCTGCGCGTTAATTGGAACGTTTGCTCAGTAATTTTAATTTAACTTATCTTTGATGATAGTTATAGAGAGTGCTTACTTTGAGTCTTTTAATTACTTCTGCTGAATAAGTATTTTTTTTTATTTATTTGACTATTATAAACCTGCCGATTTATATTTCTAGATTGAAATGTATAATTATAAAAAATAATTTTTAGGTCATCAATTAGAAAAAAATCATTCTATATTTTTCATAGTGCAAATTTAAATTTCAAAATTTTTGAAAATTGTATTAATATATTTTTGTAATTTCATGATAGTAAAATTGATAGTTTTAATTATTTTTTAATTGACGAGAAAGTTTGCAAGTAATTTATTGTTTCATAATTTGATATTTGTTGGGTGATTTAGTTGAAAGTTTAGTTTAATAAAGATGACATTTAAATTATTATCCATGTAGAGAAGAATGTAGGATTATGGTCCAATCTTTAATATGGTTCATTCGTTTTTCCCAGAAAAATATTAAAAAGTAACTTTTTCGAAATAAACACAAACTTCAAAAAGTGACAATTGGTGAGACTTCAACAGAGTAAAATGTAATTGAATAAAAACAAAAAGTGATCCATAATTCTACTTTCTTTTTCATATATACGTTTGTGTAGTAACTATTTTTTACATAAAATAATAATTGCATTCAAGAAGTTCCCTAAATGAGATAATAATCTTTTCAATCAACTATTTCCTAATCAATTTTTTCTCTTTAGTAAACATTTTTTATGTCCATTTTCGTTAGTCAATAAACTTCCAAGTAATTCTCTATTAGATATCGAACGACAATTTTTTTTTAACATTAAATTTTTCTATTAACATGGAAAACTTTCTGTGACCTAAATTTTGTAGACTTGTCCAATCGACAAACTTTTTATCCCATAGTTTTTTGCAATAAAAGTAGTTTAATTGTCAATAGCTAATTTTTTCACTCATAGAGTTGAGAATCAATAAAAAAAATTCAATGTATTTTAAATTAATAAATGGATGAAATACCAACCTTGATATCGTTAATAAACCACGTGATTTGTGCTGCTGGATAAGATTTTCCACTTGTGCAATTAAGAGCCAGAATATCACCAGTAGCATATATATTTTCCACGCCTGTGATAGTCGGGCCCTCAGTTGGAGGAGCTGTATGTCAATGAGCATAAAAAAATATTTTCTTTTTTAGTATTTTTTCGCACAATATATCTGGTATAATTTAACGAGAGTATGCTACAATTTTTTCATTACTTCTTCACATTAATTGCTTTGAGTTTGACTCACGCGATGCACTATTGAAACCGGAATCTCAATTAAATAACCACCTGAGGGCATTTTTTTTGTTCTACAATTATCGCACACTAGAAGCCTGTGAGATATAATTATTTTTTTGTATAATTTTGACCACATAAACTTAGTAAAGATTCGAAGGTTGTATTAATATTTCTAAACTAAGTTTGTTATATATAAATCATGGAATGAGTAAGTAATTATTTTAATAATGCTACTTTTATTTCATAAATCAATATCTTATCTGATAGAATTTCAATCTTTAAAAAAAATCAATTGGTTTGCATAATGATAGTAACTTAATCTATTCACGTTTATGAGGGAAAAAATATTTCATTATGGAATAAGTAATTAAAAGATAACAAATCAAAGATAAAGTTTCTGTTATTGAATCGATCAAACTTTGATTCGAAGTTAAGTAAGTAAAATTTTCATTAAAACTTCATTGTAATCGAAATAAACTGAAACATTGCCAAATTTCCTCATAGAAGTTTATTAATTTTTTCGTGAAATCATGTTTGTAGAAAAATATTCTGAAACAATAATTTATCAATTAGATGGAAAAATAATAAAAAAAAGATACTTATAATTGGTTTGAAATGATTGTTTTGTAAAAATAAATAGAAAGTTATTTATGATGTGCCACTTATTGCGACTAACTCACTTAGCAATCTTTGTGATTAGAAGAAAAAATTGCCTCATGTCATGGGAATTTTTAATTATACAGTTAAGCCTCATTTTTTAATCATAACAATTAGGGTCAAGTACAATAAATGTGATTGGTAGGGTAATATAACAGCTAGAATTAATCCCATTTTTATTACTATTTATTTACCTGCTTATTTTTCTTCAATAATAAGGGTAAAAAAGTTGTTGTAATGAATTTGAATTTTTTATCACGATCATAGCCATGTAAATGAAAGTTTAATCAATAATATATCAAAGATAATCATCAGATTGATTCAAAGTTTTATTTTTTATTGAAGTACCAAATTATTGTAATTTTCAATATTTTAATTTTCAAATAAGTATACCATGAAATAGTTGGATTTAATCTAAATCTGTTTTAATTCATCTAGATTTCGATTATAGAATTTTTCAAACTTGATTAGATTTAACTTGATCTGATCATATTCATTTAAATTGAATGCATCTAAATTAGTTCAGAGCTGAGAGTTTGGATCTCGATAGAAATAATATACACCGTTGGTTCAGATATGATTTCACGTAACTAAATACTAATTGCACATGAACTCTCACAGTCTCTTCTATACACCAATGATATTCTAAATATATTTCCTGAATATGTGAATGCAATTTATACTTATGATTAATAGGATAAAGTTTTTACATTAAAAAAAAAGTTTACTTTCAATTACACTCTAATGAATTTGAAACTTTCTCATGTTTAGAGTCATGAATAAAAATTCTTAGTCTGAATTTTTGAAATATTTGATTGTCTAATTAATTATTTTATTTTTATGTTCACTTATTGATGATATTGATTTAAAAAAAACATTAATGAAGCATTTTGCTTTTACAACAGCTAGTACTTACAGAATAATACTGTTTTCTGATAGTATCGAAACTTTTTTTTTTAGAGCGACATGAACTTTCTGTAATAACTGTAAATTTTTTGTCAATTGAATCTATTTTAAGAAGATTACATTGTATTACTATTAAAACAGTAAATTTCCATAATGTTCATTACTTTGATTAACTCATTTTTGAAATAAATTTTTTTTCTCAGTAGCCAAACGACAGTATCTACAAGTTTAGATCTATAGATCCCTACAAAAAGCTTGAATTCTAATTACAGTGTACTGATATTTTGATGAATTAATTTATTACTAAAAGAATAATAACCTAATAAATTATATTTGGTTATTATTTTACATAATAATGTGGTATAAAACGAATATATCTCTAGATAAGGAAAAAAAATGCCTCGACTGTTCTTTTACGAGGTAGTAAAAAAATTGCCACAAAAGAAAAGAAACTTCTCACAAGAATTGCACTTATGATATAAAAAAAAAATAAAAATTTGCAACTCTTCTCTTAAAGTTCTTTTTTCAAAAAATTTAATAGAAATATCACCTCAATGGTGGCACTTTCGTTTTTAAGTATTTATTCAATATTGATTGAATTCCAGCATTTTTATTGCTTTACGTAATATTTAAAGGTGTCATGGACAAGTTAGTAAATGATATCATAAAAGTATAATTCTTCTCAATTTGTTGTTAAAATTTAACATCAGCGAGGTAAACTCGTAAACACGTCACCGATCTCGTGTGGTCACGATGAAGGTAAACGATTTGCTGAGTCACCAAACTTCGATACTTAGTAGCAATAAAAATACATGAAAGAGAAGACAAGTTGGCGATAAGGTTGAACAAATTGCTCACGATCAATAGCTACTGTCGTCCAAGATAATTACTTGGTGATAAAATATTTGTTTTTTTTTACCAAATTTCATTTCCTACATCTCTCTAGATCATTTGATTTTTACTCGTTTCAAAGTTTTCTTTTATTTACCAATAACTTCCATGTAGGCTTGCCCATGAGCTGTAGCAAATTGCGGAGCTTCAGCGCTAACTTCGCATTTATATACTCCTGTAGCATCCAAAGTTACTTGCTGTAGTATCACCTTCTGACTATCAGGCTTATGAGGCTGTAAAGATAAAAATAATTGTCCAGACAATTGATTTTATTTTTTTTAAGAGCAAAAATAAGAGGAAAATCATAAAAGTAAAATGCTCGTGACGAGAATTTGTACTTAGAAAGAGCATTGTATGTTAGAAATGAAAAAATATTAACAATAGAAAATAGTTTTTGCTTTAAAATAAATAGAATATAAAAGAAATCTTCGTGCAAAGACTGTGGATATATACAATAATTATTTTAATTGCTGTTTTAAATGCATAAGTCTATTATAAGCGTCCGTATATTGATATATCTTCCTAGAAAATAAACTGCAAAATACTTTATGCAGATAGGCCTCTGGCATAGAACGTTCCTAGATTATGATACAAAAATAAAGAGAAAATGAAGCGGAAAGCTTAGGAATTATGAAGTATAAGCACGCGCACCAGATCTGCAAGATTTTGCAACATATATTGCGCTTGGTTATTTTTTATGTTAGATGGATAATTTATTGTGAACTAGTTTAGAAATAATGGAAATGAAGTCTTTATTATTTTTGTATTAAAATAATTGGATTAAATTTGTTTTTTACGATTTAATTAAAGTTTTATTCTTTCGATAATACGAAGTCTAAGTTTACAAACTTAATTTATTCATAAATTAATAAATAATGAAATGAATTCATAAATTTGAATTTATCTTTTTAATTATAGAAAAAAATCACCCAGTACACTTATTAAATTAAAAAAAGCTTTTTCAAGTTTTTGTTTATTCAAATCCATACATTTTATATATATATGAAAAAATTGTTGCAAGCAAGTTTTATTTTCTATGATTTTTGAAACATTCTTACAAAAAAATTTTTAAATCATTTTTAAAATTCTTTATTGTCGGAGTTTATAACAAAATTCAACCATTACTTTATATTAGTTTATAATACATCACAATAAAGATTCTCACCGTTATATATATGATATTTAAGTGTTTTAATAATGATGGAACTACGTCTTAGACTAAGTTTATATTACTCTCATAAATGTTCTTATTATTATTTTTTGAAGATAATATTGAGGACTGATTTAAAAGATTATTATGTAGACTAAATACCATTGAAGTTAGTTCATGAGAGTCTTTCAGTCTGTTAGAACATACTTTTTTGAATCTTGTTTTAACTCAATAAAGGAATTTAAAATATAATGCAAAATGAGTTTATTTATTCATAGAAATAAATATCCTTAGCCTAATTTTTCCAACCTTTATTTAGAAAATAAACGAGTTTAACGTAAGTGATATTTAATCAAAATGATTGCCTTTAAGTTCCAGTGATAATCATTGACTTCGAGCGATGAAATTTAATTTCACTTTACCATTTACATGAATAACTTGCACAATTTGAAATATTTTAATTATATTTTCTCTTTTACAGTATAAATTGCTTTACTGAATTCATATTCAATGTTTGGAATAGTTGGACAAATAAGCTAGAAAAATTACATTCTCCGTGATGTGATATTATATTTTTTTCTCTTTTATACTTAGGCTCATCGCTATGACCGGGATTTGGATTATTATTGAACAGGAAAGGAAAGAATGATGATAGAAGAATGTTGGGACCAAGCATATTTCAAGGGTAAGTTTAACATGAATTATGAAAGAAGGTTTTATTAAAAATAACTATGATTATAATAGGTGAAAATAATCTATAACAAGTGGCAAATGTCTTTAATTTCTATTAATATTAAGATATTCAATAATAAATAGCACATTAAGTTACTAGGTGTCTCAATAAAAAGCGAGACTGACATATTCTAGGACTGACATTTGGCCATGGTTGATTGGAATGATTTATAAATAAACAAGCCTTACAATCTATTTATAGTATAGAGTTTATGGTAAGAATTAATTATTTAAGCTAGAAGAAATAAAAACATCTAAACTTATCAGAGTAACAAATTTAATTTAAGCTTCAAAATCGTCACTGAACTGAAAATCGATTTTAGACAGTGGGTATTTAATTTTTATCAATCAAATGAATCAGAAAAAAATTAATTATTCTTATATTTGATGGAATGATGATTACTCAGAATTACTTGTATTACAGTGAATAAAATCGCTTTCATTTTTAAATAATGAAATTTGTCAATTTAAGCTTAGAAATAAAGATAAAACTTGACATAGAAGTAATAAAAAAAAAAACTAGTACTCGTAAAGTACTTTGAATAACTCACATAAACGTTGATGCCCTCCACTTCGTAAATGTGTTGGCTTTGATCCGAGTTCACGTACTTGTAAAATTCATCATTATCTTTATACCAAAGCACTGAGTACAGTTGGTCGGATTGCAAATTATACCTGAAATGTAGAAGTTTTAAATTTGTATTTAACATTGATAAAATGATATAGAATTTGGTGTAAATTTCAGGAAGCAATATTAACAAGTATATAATACCCATATACATAGATAACGAACTCAGAGGATAAATGAGGTAACTTATAAGTTACTGATATATTCACGGTCTAGATTCTCTATAGTTTGACGCAACAGTTTCAATAAATTTAAGATGTACTTTAAGCAGTTTGAATCTTACAAGAATTTACACTTCTCACAGTTGAAATTTAGCGGAAAAATTTCTCCATCAACTTCCATAAATTTATAAATCCGAAATAATGGAATAGGAAATATATGCAAGAAACTTTTTAATATTTTATACAATCATTTTAAATAAAATTAAATCGAAGTCTCTCAGCTTTTTTACATAAATACTCCTCCAATCTCTTGAGGTAATCTACTTCTTTTGTGATATAGAGATCTTAGTGGACATCAGCTGCATCCATTTCCATAGGTATTTCCGATTTATGTATTCATGTCTCTTGAAAGTTAGGAATATCGACAGATTGATAATATACAAAATGTTATAAAATGCATTCTTTACATACACATAGAGTGTATTAAATATTCTTCTATGAACTGGTTTATTTTACATAACATGAACCATAAATATATAGAAGGATATGTAACTTCAATCATTCGAATTATTTGTATGCTTAAAGGCAAAAGAAAAGCTAAAAAATACACCATCAGATATTGATGGTATCGTAAAATTACTCATGATTGTATATTAATAAAGAGTATTTCTTTTGAAAATGAAAGAAAAGAATGTTCGTACTCAACTTCAGTGATATATTTTTTTTATCATTTTGGAAAGAGCAAATCTTTGTTTCTGCTATAGTTGCTATTTAAACTATAATTATTGTTTAATTACTGTTTTTTTGCAGATCAAGTTTTTTTGATAACTAATAAAAAGATAATATTTTTGAAAAGTCATCCGAATTAATGGAAATAAATAAATATGTCATTTTAAAAAAATATCTAGATCAGATTATACATAATACCACTGAACTTAGAGTTTAATCTTAAAAAGTCTATGAAGATTGATGAGTTTAATTATTAACTTGGAGAATTATTTATTACTGTATTTATTATTTATTGTTTATTACTAAGTAGTCGTAAGGAAAGTTTCATTTAGATTTATACGATGTATTTGTTATCAGCAAACGAGCACTAGTATCTTTGAATCATAATGGAACTAAGAGTTCGAAACTGATATTGTATTTATCCTTGTGAGAATTGAGGTCTGTTGCAAAGGAATTTAACCACAGTTAGTTACAGCAGGTTTAGTACAATTTAGGCTTGGTACCGTGGGATTGATTTGCATCCGTTGGTTCATTTGTCAGATCATATCCTTAGAGACTTGCGAGACGTTTTGACCCTCTAGAGTCTTCTCTCATCAAGATCTTGTATTCCACGTAGAGTTTCAATGACTATTTTCGGTCGATTCAGTAATTTGCTCGATTAAAACGAAAAGTAAGTTTAATAGAAAAGAATTGAAAACTTCGTTTAAATTTTTTTTTAAATAATAAAAAAGCTTTGTGAGAATTGAAATAATTTTCAGGAATAAATTCCGATTTAAATACTCTAGGTTAATGATGATTTAATCGTTCAAAGTTTTAAAAAAATTCTTGATAAATTATTAAGAACTTTCATTTTAAATTAATTGAATTCAATTAAATACATTTTTCTTTCTTTTTATTTTGGAAATATTAGAAATGTATTCGATGAAGATAAATTATGGCAACACTAAATTGAATTGATTGAGAAAGCAAGACATAGAAAAAGAACGAATTTTTCTGATCTTAGCATGTAAAGAAGGATTATCATTTATGGTGCTTTTTTCTAGAAATAAGAAGTCATAACTTATTGATTCTATTTCGTATCAGTAATGCTAATAATGATATCCTTTTCAGTAACAGTAATGCTTATCCTTTATACGTGTAAGTTATTTGGCAATTACTTTGCTATATTTTTCTGAAATAAACTTTCTCTTGATACAACAGAACCATTTACATTAACTTTATGCAATCTAGATAATTCTTTACATTCAAGAACATTGCAGAAATATTTACCTTTAATATATTCTTTTGAACGAAGTCAAGAGTTAATAAATTTATGTATCTTATCATAAAATACAAGTTATGTGTTATCGATTCTAATTGAAAAAATGTTTAATCAAATTTGTCTTAACAAAGTTACACAAAAATCTAATAAATTGTTTAAAGTTTTGGGAACGAAAAAATGCAAATATTTAAAAACATCAAAGAAAAGTTTAAAATATTTCTTATTTTCCATCATCTAGTTAGGGTATTGATGAATACAAAATATAAGTAATATATTTATTAAAATAAATAAATCATCATTATAAAATTGGAAATCTTTATTGAATGTGTTTTAAAGTCAATAAAAAGAAACTTAATAATGTAACACAAATTTTATTTTTAACTTTTTTAAATGTATGCCATGGATTGTTATGTATGTAGATCAACACAGAGGAAGAGGGTCAACTTTTATGACTCTTGGCCTGAGAGAGACTCATGAAGTAAAAGAGAAGAATTACTCCTTCACTTCCTCATGTGACCATTCCAACCACAGAACGTTTCGTAATTCAAGTTGTTCATTATTCATTTGAATTAATCCTCATACATTGTTGTTGTAATATTATTCTTCTAATTAATAGCATGATAAATATCCTACTTATTATAATAAACATGTAATTTTTTTGTGATTTTATTGTTTCAGTCTTTTATGATAATTTAAATAGTTATCAATTGAATACTATTTAAATCATCATAAAAAATTAAAACAATAAATTACATTCAATTTTGACTGATTTTCAACCAAACTATAATAACAGTCTGACAATAGTTCAAAAATTATCGTGCAATTGAAGATAACCAAACCCGAGTAAAAATGATCATTTTTTTGGCGCTCTCAAAGGCGGCCCTGATTCGAGCCTAAATTAGTTTTCAGGATCACAACGCACCCAGTTTGAGTTAAAATTACTTTTTAGGACCACAAGACGACTAATTTAAGCCGAAAAAACATATGTTTGAAACTTAAAAAAAGAATTTATTATAAAACCACTGCAAATCCAAGTGCATTCTTGTTATACATCTAAATGTGTTAAATATGACGTATCCATTTGATTGACATGTAGTCACTTTTAGTGCGTTTCTAGTTGATAAAAAATGGCAACACTTCTTAATCAAATGGGTGATGTCATATTTAACACGTTTAGATGTGTAACAAGAATGCACTTGGATTTAGAATCAGTTCTAAGTTGTGTAATTATCTGTTTGAATGTAATTGGTCCCACGTCAATATCATTTTTTTGTTCTCGAAATAATCGAGACGAAAATTGATCCGAAACGTACAGACATACAGACGTACGCACATACATGCACAGACGTCCATTAACAACTATTGTATTGACTCTTGGGACCTTGAAACGCGAAAATGTGTCAAAATTTGGGATTCAACAAATCAGACTCATTGCGATAACTTCCCACTAAGAAGTTAATAACTTTCATGCTTTCAGATTTATACGTATAACATCTTTCATCAATAGCCTTTTCCCAACGTAGCTTCTTAATACTTGTTCATTTATGTAGTAGTTGCCCAAGTCCATCTTTGTATGGAAAATTACTTAATTATAATTTAACAGATCTATCAATACTAGGTTACTCATACTAAAAATTTCTGTATGTATTTTACCCGAGTAAAAATGATCAATTTTTAGGCACGCCCACAGGAGGCCCGATTCAAGTCCAAATCATTTTTCAGGCTCACAGAAAATACTTTTAGGCTTGAATTGGGCGCGTTGTGAGCCTGGAAAATAATTTTGGGCTTGATTGGGCTCCTTCGAATTTAGGCTTGTAATGGGCTCGTTTTGGGCACTGAAAATTTCTCGAAGTCAGATTGGGCTTCAATCGGGTCTGTATTAGACTTATTTATTCTTACTCGGGTAATACATTTGCAATACATCATTTTATTAGATTTGTAATGTAATTATAAATGACGAAACGTCCTTCCTTCAATGATTCTGATTAGATGAGTGATTTCGGTTCAATTTAAAGCTGAGAAATATGAATTGAATGAAATTTTGACGAAATACTGAAATGATAGGAAGAAAGCTCGGAATTAGTGGGCAAACTGAAATGAATATTCTCTTTTGTGTCTCTGAAAGCTCGACTAACTCTATTGATAGCAGGTTCCCTAGTTCTGATTTCGACATGATTTATTTAACAGAAGCTTATCTGTCCATACATCAGTGAGATGTCTTTTTGAATTTTACTGATTGCACGATGATAATTCTTTACGCTACTCTATAATTTTTTACATTTGCACAAACAGAATCATTGATGAATTGTACATTGAACATAAAAATCATATAAAATTTTCTATAATTGGCAATATTTCGATATTAATCTATTCAATAGATTTAAGATAGTAAAAATAAAAAATAAATACGTCTGTGTCTTATTTCAATCGAATTACATATAAATTAGTTCATATTATATATCAAGTTATTTAAAAACTATTTAATTTTTAATTTAGTTGATAATTAAGTACATAAATTATGCAAGTATTATTCATAATTTTGTTTAAAATGAAGCTAGCATCATACTTTACATATGTATATACAGAGAAAAAATATTGGCTTAGTTATTCAAAAGATGTTTATTTTATAATCGTGCAAGAGAAATGCTACTCTCATTACTTAAAACGATATTACAAATGTTTATTTATATATTACTAATATATAGAATTTCATTCTCACACTGTAAATAAATCATTATGTCTCACAGCTGCTTCATTCGAAATATGTTATATAGCTTCCACGGCTAAGCATTAAAATCGCGTATACACGTACACAGAGAGAATTTTTCCACGATGGTAAGTGCAAAAACAAAAGTGTCAAGTCCACGTTTCAAAATTTAAAAGCGCCTTCGTACTACACACAACCCACATCCGAGATATGAAAAAGAGAGCCCCACTCTATGACGCTCTACAGCTTCCGGGTAACTCTCATAACGTTTTTTGTGCGCGGCACGGTCACACGTTCAGAGATTCAAGTAAGAAATTTTAATCAAAAAAGAGGAAAAATGGGAAAAGTAAAAGAAAACGTGAGCGAGAGGAAGAAAGAGAAGAACGGGAAAGATTTGGAAAAAGTTTAAAAGGATTAGAATCGCTTTTACATAAATTACAGGGACAATAGTAAGCGAGCAAAACCACTCTGCTAACGACAATCTTCGAATTCAGGTGAGTGTAAAAAGAAGAGTGGTTTGCTTAATGACGATGTGCCCACACGAGTGGTGGGACAGATCGCTCAAGAATTTCAATAGAAAATTCAAAACAATGTGCCCACACGAGTGGTGGGACAGATTGTTCATTTCGAGTAATACTTGCACGAGTGGCAAGGTGTAATTTGGGGTCTACATGGCTTGTTGCAGAGAGTGCAAGCGAGGGAAATGGTACTGGAGATCAGCTAATCAATAATCCAGCCGATAGCTTACCGACCCACCCTGAACCGCAAGATAATTCAAATCTCACGCGACAGGGTACGCTAATGGACACTGAGGAAAGAAATATGGCGGAAACAGAGAAGGTCGATTCATCAACCGAGTAGATGAGGAGACTCAACATATTTTAGGAAGGACCCAAGACTTAAAAATACAAATATAGCTTCAATACACCCAGAAGTTGCAGCGAGATGGTCGTCATGGATTCCAGAGGGTCTTGAAAAAGAGATCAAGGAGAATCTCATTGCAGCTTATCCACGAGCTGAAAACGTTCTGTTAGAACCCCAGATTCTGAATGAAGAATCGCCGTAATAATGCAACCAGCGGCAAAGAAGCGAGATGAACATGCTGTCGAAACACAGAAATCATTAGGTTCAGCTATGATAGCCCTAGGCCTGGGGATTTCCTTAATATTGAAGGAAAAGGTCCATTAAAGATGAGCACAGGAATCTGTTGTTAGAATATGTAAGTGACGCAGGGATGCTAATGGCTGAAACTCATCATCAAATGGCTATTAACAGAAGAGCATTTATTCTGCCAGGATTAGAAAAATCCAGGAAAGATGCTCTCGAAAGATGTCACTCGACAAATATCTGTTTGGTGAAAAATTAGCGGAAAAAATCCAAACAACGAAAACAATTGAAAAGGCGGCTTCCGAACTTAAGCCTAAGCAAATAATGAAAAAATTTCCCTCGAAATCACAGAATCATTTAAACTGGAAGAACCCATCTTCGAAGAATCTGGGATATTCGAGGATGGGACAGAAGATGTACAATCCCCAAACTCAGAGAATGACGTCCAAGAGAGACTCGAGATATGCGAGCTCTCACAGCAGAACCAAAACAACTCACCGGTCATCGGATCGTCGTCACAAATAGAGGTAACCCACCATGCTGGGAGGTTAGGATCCTTTCTGGAGTCGTGGAAACTGGTCACTGCCAATGAAACTATCATAGGTTATATAGAGGGTTATAAGATCGAGTTTAGAGAAACTCCTTATCAGTCTAAGGAACCTGCGAGTCCTAACCTTATTAAGTTGGATAACTTGACAAATTATAAAATAACAGTAAATAAGTTATTGGAAGTAGGAGCTGTCAGACTTTGTTCTGACATTCAAGGACAGTTTATATCTTCCTATTTTCTAGTGGATAACCAGATGGAACAAAGAGATTTATAATAAACTTAAAAAATCTCAATGAATTCATAGACACTAGTCATTTTAAGCTAGAAGATATAAAATAGCTTCAAAACTTATATCACAGGGAGACTACTTGGCTGTAATTGATTTAAAGGATGCATACTTTCTTATACCAATGCATCAGGAGAGTAGAAAATATCTTAGATTTAGGTTCGAAAATAAACTGTACGAATTTGTTTGTTTACCATTTGGTTTATCCACAGCCCCATTCATTTTTACTAGGTTTTAAGATCTGCACTTAATGTTGCACGAAAGAGGGGTTCACTATTAATTGCATATCTAGATGATATTTTGTGTGTAGGAAACACTTATGAAGAATGTACAAAGAATGTAGAGTCAACAGTGCAGCTTCTTGAGTCTTTAGGATTCATCGTAAATAAGGGAAAAAGTCAATTAATACCTGATAGAGAGTGTAAGTTTTTAGGGTTTTTGATAAACTCAAGTAGTATGACGTTAGAATTGCCAGAGTCAAAGAAACATAATTTATTAGAAAAGATTCAAAAAATAATGTATAAGGAAAAAGTAAAAATCAGATTATTAGCTCAACTTATTGGAAGTTTAGTGGCAGCTTGTCCAGCAATAAAATATGGTTGGCTCTATACAAAGAAGTTAGAGAGAGAGAAGTTTCTGTCGCTGTTGAAGAAGGATGGTAAATATGACTGCGTCATGAGGTTGCCAGAGCATTTGAGAGAGGATTTTGAATGGTGGAAAATAAATATTATGAACTCTAGAAACTCCTTTAAATTACCTAGTTATAAAAGGGTTATTTTTACTGACGCCTCTCTATCAGGTTGGGGAGCTTATTGTGAAGGTACTGGTACTCACGGGTCATGGTCTGTAGAAGAGAAAAAACACCATATAAATTATTAGAGTTGCTTGCAATATTTTTCGCTTTAAAATCATTCGCTTCGGATCTTTACAATTGTAACATTCTCTTGAGAGTTGATAATACGACTGCAATCTCTTACATAAATCGAATGGGTGGTATTCAACATCAGAATTTAAATATTCTTGCTAGAGAAATTTGGCAGTGGTGTGAACAGAAAAACAATTGGATCTTTGCATCGTATATCCCCTCTCAAGAAAATGAAGATGCCGATCGAGAATCAAGAAAAAACAATGTCGACACTGAATGGGAGATTGGAAACGAATATTTTCGTAAAATAGTTAGAAAATATGGTACACCGGAAATAGATCTTTTCGCGAACAGAATTAATAAAAAATGCGAGGTTTTCTGTTCCTGGTTTCAAGACCCAGAAAGTTTCATCGTAGATGCGTTTACAATCAACTGGCATAACTGGTTTTTCTATGCGTTCCCTCCGTTTGCTATGATTCCTAGGGTCATTCAGAAAATTGTATCTGACAGAGCACGGGGTATATTAGTAGTCCCTTATTGGACCACTCAGGCTTGGTTTCCAGTTTTCGAGACTCTTTTAGTAGAAAAACCTATCGTTTTCAAACCATCTAAAAAACTTTTGTTATCACCTTGCAGATCATTAAATCATCCCTTGCATCAAAAAATGTTTTTGATTGTCGGCAAGCTATCCGGACAGCGTTCGAAAAAAGAGGACTTCCGTCATCAGCCGTAGAGATTGTAATACTATCGCTTGCAGAAGGAACAATAAAACAATATGCTGGTCCAATAAAAGAATGGTTTGGATTTTGCGAAGAAAAGAAGCAAGATCCATATAATATCACAGAAAATAATTTATTAGAATTTTTATCTCACAAGTTTCAAGCAGGAGCAGCTTATGGCTCCCTAAATTCAATGAGAGCAGCAATATCCCTATTATCAGAAAAAAGCCTATCATCTAGTCTATTATTAAATAGATTTTTCAAAGGTGTCTATCGAAATCGTCCTCTAAGGCCGAAGTATGATAAAACCCGGGATCCAAAGATAGTCTTAGATGTGTTAGAAACTTGGTTTCCCTTGGAAAGTTTAAAGTTGTCAAGGTTAACGTTAAAAGTAGCAACCTTGTTAGCATTAGGCACTGCTCATAGAATACAAACGTTGGCACTAATTAAAGTAAGTAAAATCAAAAAAGTAGAAGGAGGATTAGAAATAGAAATTGAAGATTTTACAAAAACATCTAAAAAAGGTGTAAATCAACCATTGCTGTTTTTACCCTATTTTAAAGACAAACCTCAACTATGTATTGCAAGCACAGTAGAAAAATATATTGAGGCTACTAATTCATTAAGAAATAATGTTGACAAACTGCTAATCACTTTTAAGAAACCTTACAAAGAAGCGTCTACTCAAACAATCAGTCGTTGGGTTAAGTCAGTGTTAACAGAAAGTGGTGTTCCAGAAGAATTTACCGCATATTCAACGCGACATGCATCCACATCAACTGCATATAAAAAAGGAATTGACATAAACACAATTAAGTCAACGGCTGGTTGGACGAAATCGTCAGAGGTTTTCGCAAGATTTTACAATAGACCAATTAAAGTATCGAAAAGCATATTCGCTGAAACAGTTTGTCTTCAAGCTAATATAATAAGTTATTAAGTTGAAATACTCTGCCTTCAGTTATAATCTAAGTAAAGTAATGCTGTAAGAAAATATGTAATTGGAAAAATAAATAAATAAAAAATTTTTTACCCAAAAAATTAGGACTCTAAACATCTACGTTTGTAATCCTGAGAACGAGACGACTATAATTGTACGATCAAACGAGCTCGCCGAAGGCGAGCGAAGTTCGATCGAAATTATATAAAGTCTCGTTCGAAAGGATTACATCCCAACCCCTTAAGTTTTAATTATATATAATATAATAAAAGAAAGTCCCACCCCAAGTTTATTTATTTTTCATATCTGTAAAAATTATGAGAGTTACCCGGAAGCTGGTAGAGAGTCATAGAGGGCTCTCTTTTTCTATCTCTGAATGTGTGGTTGTGTTGTAGTACGAAGGCGATACTACGTTTGTAATCCTTTCGAACGAGACTTTATATAATTTCGATCGAACTTCGCTCGCCTTCGGCGAGCTCGTTTGATCGTACA